GTTTCATATGGACCATTATGCGACAAAAACACATACTTGAACAAGTTATCACCATTTTAGGTTTTGTTTTTCAGCTCTAAGTGTTGTTTTATGCTGGATTGTGGTGATGGTACAAACTATCAATTGCAGCGTCACTATGGTGATGATACTGACAGGATCTTATCTTCATTGTCATTCGTGTTCATCTCACACAGCCATGTTGACCATTATATGGTACGTAATCCAATTTAAATTGCTGTTATAATGCACTGTTAAGGCGCTGCAGGTATTCAGTTGAATTATTCATCAAGAATAACATAACCCAGTATTTGTACTAGCGATTTATTACATGCGGTTCAAGTGATTACAATGTTGCAACAAATAGCTGAAGTGGCTACTAGAGATTCGAACTATTGAAACAATGAGTAGAGTGAGAGTGGTGACAAATCTGCCTCCACTTCATTTTGTAGTTGGCTACTTTTTGCAACTCAGCCACTTGTTTGCAAATTTATTGAAACCCGTGCATATGTTATTTCAAAAAGCTTCTCATCAACTTTGTTTTCTGCATGAAAAGGGGCTTGTCAATGTAATCCTTAATCACATGAACCTAAAGGAACAAGGCAAGGTTAGTGAACATTCTCCTATACGTTTTAAATTTAGCTAGCATCAATTAGGATGCAAGAATGCCTTAGTAACTGTATTTTTGGTCATTGAATCAAGTTAATTGCATTATTTAGGTTACCAAAGACTTTGTAATAATTGGTCCAGAAACGGTTTATCATTGGTTGCAACAGTTAAGCTCTTTACTGATGGTTGACCTTAACTACAGGTACATGTAATTAACTGGATTTTATCAATTGGCTTTAGACAGCTCTTTATTGAAAGCGAGTCCTTTACGCATATACGCACATGCGTACTAAAACATGCCCCTCAAAACGCATATTTCCAAGAGTTATTATTTCATAATTTCAGACACAGACTCCCCTTAATACTCCCACATTCAGCAGATGTTAGACACCCAATCTAAAATATGTGTCGCGGTCCCTGACATGTGCGTACTAGCCAAAACGTCCACGTTACACGCCTGAGAGGGAAAAGAGAAAGTGGAGAAAAGTTGCAAGGAAATTGTCTCCCTTGAGTAGAAAAAAATACAATGAAAGTGGAGCAATGATGGGAAAAAACCATAAAATAAGATCACTTCTAAATAATCAAGCTATTGAGTTTATATTCAAAGTTCTCTTGTTTTTATCATTAGGTATTACACCTTTAGTGATTTTAGATCTGGAAACCAGAAACCAGAAATCAGGAATTTGCTAAGCTCAATGAAACTGAACAATGTAAGAGTTTGCTTTGACCATTTTTTCTCTTGAATGCCCTGTGTTTGTCAAGCCGTAACAATAACCATTCCCTACTCCATATTGTAAGGTAACTATGCGTTTGCATCGAAGTAAGACCGACATTGAGTGTGCAATAATAGAAACCTGTGCATAGGTACAAACACGGGTATCTATCTTTGCACGCTCAACTGTCGTCTCTCTTTGATGGCACAGTTAATTTCAAGATTGCTCAGGGAACCGTGATGCTATCCTGAACATTAGCTTATAAATGGAGAAGAAAACAAACATCTCAGCCAAATGGAATTCATATGTGACAGCAATCCTCTATCTTTACAACATTATCACAAGGAGAAATGTGAAATCTCAAGGGCTGACATTTTAGCATGCTCGGGAAAATCCTGGTCAATATTTGCACATTCTTTCTAAAGTCAAAATTATTTTTGTATTGTTATTTAGTTGTCCCTCGTTCCTGTTTATCACTGCGAAGATTCATTTGGCATCACGATTTCTCATAATTCTGGTTGGAAACTTGTCTATTCTGGCGATTGCGTTCCCTCACAAAAACTTTGGGAAGAAGGTACAAGAAAATATTTTCCTTTGGGGGGTGGAGTCGGGGAGATGATGCCACTTGTGATACCATAGTTACTAACTATGGTGATACGTAAGGCGTATGATAATAATATTTTCTATTCTTTCTTTTCCAAGGCATTGATGCCACACTGTTGATTCATGAAGCCACTTTCCTGTCGGATTATCAAAAGGCTGATAATGTTAAACACAGGTATGTACACTCGTCTTTCCCCAAGTATTGCTCGTTACTTCTTTTTGTTCCTTGGGATTCCTGTGATGTGATTCAAGTTGTCGTTTTCCGAGTGCTGTCCGAGAAACAAGACAAGAAGGAGGAGAGAAACCAATGGCTGTAACATTAGCTCCAATTATTACGCAAGAATACCTCGTTATTATGCGAGAGCATGCGGCATTTTTCGAAGTGTCCACATCTTTCTCGTAATCGTCTACTAAAATTCTATATTTGCCTTTGTCTAAAGAATTTCTATTTTTCTTACTAAAGTACTGTAGAAGAAGCAATGGCTGTGGCCAAGAAAATGCGAGCGCGCTATACAATTCTGACACACTTTAGTAATCGGTATAGCTTGTCAGATCTTTTGGCCACACCTTTGGCAGATGGAGTAAACCTGGCGTTTGACCATATGTCGGTAAGTAGGAAACGCAAAGCTGAATAGATAGTGTTAAATGATTTTTATCATTTCTTTTTCTTTTTCATAGGTTCGTCTGCTTGATCTACCAAACCTTAAAAAACGACAAGACAAAATACGGCGAATACTTTTGCCGGAAAAATCAATTTGTACAGACTCACAGAATGACATTAACCGATTTTATCCAAATTATTGAAGCAGTTAGTTTTTTTTGTTGTTGTTGAAAGTCTGAAGTGAAATGAAAATGAAATAAAAATGCACAATAAACTTTTGTTAACAAAATCAGACTGTCATGCTTCTTAATTTTGGCGGTCAATGTTGACCTGGCTGACCTCGCCCTTGAAATATAGAGTAAGATTTCACCTGCCTGACGAAGTCGAGTTATTACGGCATAAAACTGTCAGGATTATAAATCGAGGATTTATTATTGGTCTAATTTTTTTAAAACGTTTGCTTAGTATTCAAAGCAAATTATATCAAGAAATTCCCAAGAAAATCTGGCCATATTTTTTTATATTTAATTTTTGAGTGAATTGGGTTCATGTTTAAAGTTGCTTTCTTTTGTTTGCATTACTTCAAAATTAAAATTGTATTTTCTTTGGATTGTTTTTTTTTTTTTTATGATATGTGAACCTCAACAGCCGGTAAATCGAAATACATGAATAAATTTAAGATTTAAACGAAAAAGATCGCTAGATAAAGCAGTAACATTACGAGAAACATGATAGGCCAAAATAGCCCTGACGAAAAAAAACCGGGAACATTAATATAACATGACTTGCTCTCCGTGACCACGATCGACATTCATCTGATTTGAATAAAGACAAAAGCTCAAAGAGATAATCTGCTCGCTTGACTGAATTATTGGTTCGAGCAGCTTGAGAACTATGAAGCCTTGAAGTCAGTCGACGAATTCACCATTTCAACCTTAAATTGGATGGAAATTTGACTCGATCATGACGGATGTGAATCTAAAAACGGAGATCAAGTTGAACAACCTTCGAGGTTTGTGCTTATACTCGTTTTATCGGGGTTTACGGTTCAATGGAGAATTCCCCAATTTGCTCACTCCTTCGTCTAACCTCTCCGTTTTTGCTTATAATCTTTAGATCTCGTTTTACGACTCGAGAGCTCCCAGAAAAACCCAATTCGTGATGACAATGTTCTACTGGCTCCAGTCTGCGATGTTCTGGAGAAAGTGCTCCGAATTGGTTTGAAAAGTGAGTAAATAACTAGTATTATCAACAAAACTTCCTTAGGAATTTTTACCAGAAAAGTTTATGATATTTTACAATGATAAACCCGCTTTTTAATAACAATGTTTTGTGTTTGAATTTATGTTTTACCATTTCTGGCTGCGTGATGAAACTGAGGTGAAGAGAAGATGCGCTGAAAATCTCTTGAATCGTTTTACAAAAGGAATTACTGAGGCTGAAAATTGAATTCAAATTCTTGAATCTTGAGTTTACTAGAATTTTAGTCCAGTACTTTGGACGAAGCGAGAGATTTATTATTTATTCAAAGGGAACATGATCTGAGGAAATACCAAAACACTGGCGCAGGTGTCTTCCTTGTACAGTTTCATCTCTAAGGCAACGACAAAACTGTAAACCGTTGAGACAACGATATCTTCAATTCTCGATTCTATAACAAGGCTATTTATTAGTTTAAAAACTTGCACTGGATATATTTTGGTAGTGCATTACGTTTTAGTGATATATCTATCGAAAACTAATCTAGGAACTGCGATGTGAAAGGTGTCAAAATACTGACTTCATTTCATTAAGCGAAATTCTTCACAATTGTAACATTAGTGTTATTGTGAATATTGGAGTTTTTTTGTTATTGTATATGTGATGTGTAATATATAACTGAAACTATGAAAACACAAGTTGAAAGTATTTTCTTTCGTAGTAATCGTGGTTTTGAAAAGCAGAGACACTTCAATTTCGATTTTGGTGTTCAGTGTTTTGTATTCATAACAATCGCGGTTCCACTTCGCGCATGATGAACAGAGCGCGAACAATTGAAGAATAGTCTGGACTCTTGCCGGTGATATCTTGACATTTTACCCTGTTACAAAAAATTCTCTACATAAATCATCAAGCTATTGATTATTTACAAGTTCTTCGGATTTCTGGGAATGTATTTTTATAAGTCCATGTGACATTAACATGCATTAAGATCATATGTGCGCCAACTAGCACAGTAGATTATTTAGAGTGGATTATCTTAAACTTTCTCTTAATCGCCAAGGGTCTGTCTTGGGCTTTGGTTTGAAGAAATGGGATTACTGGTGTTGGATAGAGGCACTGTCCAGATCGCTCCAACATGACAGGCAAGTCAACGACCCAAAACYCTAATGACGTCATGCAGTTTCAATGATACCATAATCCCTTTCGAGCTGGGTTTTTTCATGCTTATAATTCCAATGAAATTACTATTTTTATGAATTCAAGAGGAAATGATAAGAAACTAAATTAATAAATAGCATTATGGATTGATGGTTTTAGCACACTCTACTCATGATTGACAAACAATGCTATTTCAAAACGTTTAATAACCAAGAAAGTTGTAGTTATTAAGATACAAACTGCATGACGTCACTCTGTGTGTGGTCCTACAGTGACTGATTTGTGGCTCCCGAGTTCTTACTTTTTTTAAAATTGAACTAATTATTTCTCGGTTATTACCCTTCCTTACATCTCTAAAGTTTCCTCAGAATCCAAAATGTCCTCATCCGAGTCCTCGTTAAGACAGGACAAATCTTCTGTAATAGTACCTCTGATCTCCCAAAAAAAACTGTCATAACGCCCTCGTTAGTATACTGTTATTCTATCAACAGAGTTTTATCTAAATTACTGTTTTTGACATTTTCAGGCAAGCATTGGCTCTCTTACATGCCATAACGTTTACAAAATCATCCAAAAAGGTACAGCAAAATACACTCGAATATCGACAACTCGCTACCACTCGCAATCCAAAAGCATGAGCGTTTCAAAACACACAACACAAATGCAATGACGCCATTTTGTACAGCAAGGCATGATGGGAGATTTAGTCTTTTTTAATATTTTATAAAATATTAATGCCCCAAATCCGGAAAAGAAAAAGAGAAAAGAGAAAGAAAAATAAAACTACCATTAACGTYATGCTTTGCACGAGAAGCAATAGGAACGCGAAATATAAAAGAGGTTTTTTTTACTTCGCATATTTATAACGATAATGAAAAAAGGTCATCCCATCCATTCTGTTTTGCTCATGAGAAGCTGTAAAATCTTTTCATTCCAGCAATACTTTATTGCTTCGCCAGGTAACATCGTATCAAGGATTTGGACGCCTATTCATTCGCCTCGCTTTGATGAAGAGGTTGATGGGCTACGTAATGCAGACTTTACAGAAAAACAAGAAGCTTCTAAAGGTACAAAATGATCACGTGATATTTTGACTGTCTGTCGCCGCCAAGAAATACTCTGTATTTGTATTAGGAATGCATGTGTTATTTTCAGTGATATTTTGGCATAAATAATTATAACGCACTATATTTAGTAGTGTTTCAAAGCTGTTGAGCGCTGATATCGCAGCTAGTATTTCTAATTACCATGATGTAATAGATTTGTTGTCACAAATATAAACTCAAACAAGCCACACAGGGCGAAAGTTCCATGACATCTACGAACTTCTCTAACGTACATAAACTAAACGTAACGTATCTCGTTTTCTTGTTATTTTACAGAGCTGGTACAATGACTCGTCAGTATTTTGCGATAAAGTTCACACCGGTGAGTTACTTACTGGGAATACAATTATATTTTGCCATTCTCCTTGGAAATACTATCTAAGAGATATGAATACGTCCATTTTTTTCAGAAATCCTTAAGCAAATACTCGACGATCTGGATAAACATGTTTTTGAACTGAATCTCAAGGTAAGGCAAACTTAAAGTTTTTTAGAGGCATGCAGATCTCGAGAAACGTGAATCAAGGTTTTTATTTCAATTGAATACCCAATACTGCCTAGTGCATTTCCAGACTATTAGAACTAGCTATTAAACTTCAAGTTAGTTGCGCAACAAAATGACAAGATTCTAAACCAAATTTCTTTCTTTTCAATTGTTGACTGGGCTGGTAGAAGTCACTAGAACGACCAACGATGCATTTCGGTCTTGGAATACACAATCTTCAGTATTCAACTTTTTATACTGTATTTTCTTTTCAGAATGCAAGCTTTTTGGAGGAAACTTGGATCATACCTGTAAGTATGCCACCTCATTATACTGTGTATGACGTATTATACGACGTATAATGCTATTTATAAATAGTACGTCATCATGCGTGTGAGCATGGCCTTATGCTTACAGTCTCTTCCTATTGTAGGAGATCAAAGAATCCTGCATTGTCCCGTGCAAAGAGCTTGGTCTAATTGTCAGGTAAACAGTTTTTGTGTCTATGTCACTACTGTGAATAAGTTTAAGTACAGTGGATTTCTTATGCACATTCAAGCATACACGAATTTTGTTCTAGAAAACACGGCACAGATGCCTGAGTTACCGTGCGGTCTGTTCCGCATTCATATTGATCTGATTTTGATAATTTTGCTACATGAACAGAGACGTCAATGACCGAGTAATCGTTGCGCAAGTGAAGCCGAATGGCGCAGCTGGAGATGTAAGTATATGCTGATGATGACGGTGATGATGATGATGATGATGATGATAGTGAGGTGATGATGATGAGCATAATAATGAGAGTCGAAGAGATGTTAAGACTGTATTATGTTTTGTGGAACTCATTTACTACGACCATAGTGATTATAAGTGATAATAACGAGAATTAGAATAACCTGTCAAGTAAAGCCAACTTTACCTTTTCTCGTCAGGCTGGAATAGAGTACGGCGACACGATAGACGAATTACTTGGAAAGCCGCTACTTAAAATCAAAAACTGTGCCAAGGTATATTTATTCCTGATATTGATCCATGAGAAAAGCACAGTAGTGTAATAATTCATTTTGATTTTAAATTTTACTTATTTACTCATCAATTTGCTAATGCACTATACTTTTATAATTGTCAATTAGGTCATTGAACTTCTCAAACAAAATGTAGGGAAACCAGTCAGCTGTACGGTTGTCAAGGTGAGCTGTCAATCAATCTTGCCGCAACAGAAAATTTCCCAACACCGTGCTCTCCAGGTTTTCTGAGCTCGCGCACTCGCGTATGATAACAGCCTGTGTGTTTTCTTATTCTTATTCTTTATAAACTTTAATCAGCAAGATTCAAAAAACATACTAATCAACTTGCCTATTTCATAATAGCCCAAGCTGTCCAACGGTGCCTTTTTCCCGCCATCTGCTGAAAGACTTAAAGTGATCCAAGAAGATCCCTACATTGAGAAGAATGACAACCAATATGCACCTCAGCAACTGGCTGGTTATGACGAAACTGCAGTGCACGCTTCAGACACAGTGTAAGACAATAAATAATTACCTCGAATATTAATCTAAACTTTTACAACTTCAATGATTAGATGTTTTTTTTTTTTAATTTCACATTATTATTTTATACCTCAAAGTGCGTCATATTCAGCTCTTTATTATGGCCGATGGGAAACTGGTGAGGTGAGTCTATCGTTTCCAGAATTATATGCATTGATAAAAGACTTGCACAATGCAATCCTTTTTAAAAAAAGTTTAAAAACTTCCTCTGGCTTTAGGACCAAAGCAAAACTTTATTCCCTTTTGAACGCAGCCTTGCTCCCAGGACTACTTCCGCCCTCTATATTCAAAATGGCCGGCGTTTTCGTACGCATTCTCTACGTACCACGCCATTTTGAAAAAAAAGAGCGCGCAGAGACCCTGGAGACGAGGAATTTGTGAAACGCTATCTACTCCTTCGATTTTGTTAGTTGAAAAAAGTTAAATTTTACATCACTTCACAGGATGGAAGCGTTGGAGTCATCGAGGATGGAATAAACTGTGTTTTAAAACAAGCAAACCAACCACGTGTAAGTTCATCACGGGAAAACAGCAAGCTTCCTTCTCTTCAACTGATTATTTTTCGTGTTTTGTTTCGGCAGGCTGTTGAATTAAACTTGACTGAGACAGATTTGACGGTAGTCGACAAGGAAACATCAAAGGTATGGGCATAGACATAAAGAAACGCGGCAAAATGTTTTATAAAGAACATTGATTCATGAATATAATGTTATTGAAACGAAGAATTGTGGATTACAGCTATTTCAGAAAACGTTATAATAATGTTATTATTGCTAAACTACAAAGCATAAATTCATGCAGAAAACGTCGAATATACTGAATGCTGTATGCTGCATAGTGCATTCCAAGACAGCAATGCAATATTGCTATTGTATCCAAGGAAAGCGCGTTGTAAAACGCAAATTGTTTTCTGCTGAACTTCTTGACAGTAAGGAGCTTGTATAGCCATTTCCTCAACCACGAAAACTCTTTGGTAAGCTGATTCMACTACGGACAATGCATTGCGGTCTTGAAATACACAATGCATTATTTAACGTTTTCTGAAATCTAGCTGCATATGCAGCCCTGCGCTATGACAATTATAGAATTTTTAATGAATCAGCCTCTGTTGTTTTTACCAGATTCTTTCTGTCCATTCATTCACTGAGACATCAGCTTGTGGCCGTAAGAACGACATGAAGGACATCGTTGCATTTGTATCAGGGTAACGCAAACAATAGCCCTGCATTACATCCGGCAACCAAAATTTGAGCCAATCAGAAAGCTTTTAAAATACTGAGCCAGTCAGAGCGCGCGGCTGAAATTCAAAAAGTGTGCCAGATGTAACGCAAGCTACAACAATATGACAAAATAGTTAAATTTAAAAAAAAGAATATTAATTTTAGAAACTTTTTATAGATAAATATCAATGTTTGCTTCATAGAGAGACGAGTTGTGCTTTAGCCAAGAAGTTCCACTGTTATGTTTTCAAAGTGAAAGACCAAGATATTGTAAGTAATTTTGACTTTTCTTGTTGATTATTAAGGACGTTCATTGGCATTAGATTCCGTGATGTCAATTCGATGAAATTTTTTTGGGAAATACGCGATGACATAAACTTGCAAAAAAGCGATAAAAAAGTGGAGGTCACCGGCTTCATTTTAGAGATAATTCTTGCACAAAATCACCAAAATTGTCAAAGAAAAGCGCGCGAAAAGGGTTCGATGCCGTCTACCAAAAAACTTCCCGAAAAATATAAAACACATATCAATTGATCCAAATTTTTCCACAAAAGCTGAGGGCGATAATTGTTAATATTGTTTACGAGACTTTGAAACATTACATGATGTGATTTTTGATTTCTTTAGGACTTTTGTTCGTGTAAGGCCGCCACATTCGACGTCAAGAATAGGTGTCATTTCCAGCTAAAACTGCTATATTTCAGAAACCTCTGTTGTCGTTTTTTCCGCTTTCACATATGTTATATTTTTTCCAAGTAGCCTTCTTTTAAGATAAATAGAAATTGGGGTTACCGGGTTCGTTGTCGAAATATTTCGTGTCGAAATCTTAGATTTTGCAGGCCATCTTGAATYGCGMGAGABTTTTTTCTGCCAATCTACGACTTTTTAGAGCATTTTCAACACTTTTTCGCCTCATCAATTCTTTAGCAGTAGTAAATCTCCCATTTCTTGAACACGAAGACATTTTTCATTCAAGTAGAAGTTCAGAAAAGTACGTACAAAACCACACAAACACATAAAAAGAGCGGTCGCCATCTTTGTTTTGCGTGATGCAATTTCGTGACAACTTCCGGTTTGGGCGTGCGCAGAAAGCGTGCGCAGTAGCAATGCCCTCGAACGTCCTTAAGTACGCTGCAACATATATATGACGTATATCTGAAATTATGGTTTATTTGTAGGCAAGGGTCATCCTGTACAGCATCGGTATGTACACTCATTTATTCATAGAATTTTAATAGAAGGCTTGTGATTCATGGGTCCATGTGGGATAACTTCAAAGAACACATGGGCGTGCGCAATGACTCGTTGTACGCATGATCATTAGAGTGTGAGCAGCGAATCTCTACGTGAAAACTAAAGCTTGTTTTTTCCCCTCGTTTCAGCTGATGGATTTTGTCGAACGGTGTGGTTTGTTTGATGCATGACATACTCCTACAGTCGATTTTCTACCGACTTCTTTTTTCGGGAATTGAAATGGCTTCTCTATAATAGCGTATTTTCTTGAAGGGAAAAAAGTCAATTGTGACCCAGCACCACTATCAATTACTGCCATTAGTACAAATTCTAATACACTAAGTACAGAACAGTCTTAAATCAATTTAATGATATTGAATTAATTTATCATACATTTTGTATATAGTTAAACATGTGATAATTATTTATAGGGGTATTTCATTTGATGTATTATAATTTAAATAGTTTTTTTTTCTATAATTTTTCTACATTAAACACTGCTTTTGACCTTGTTTATTTTGTGTTACTTGATATGATCATACAAGGAGTGACATAGGCCACTAGCTGGGAACTAATGCGTAAACCTATTGATCGTTCGCCTTAATTAGAACAGTTATGTATCATGGGGGTCCCGTATTTAATACCATCGCCACCTCCCTTGTCTGGGGTGGGGTTAAGACGAAAAGGCTGCGTTTCCTGTTTTGCTGTGCAAACAACTAAAACAAGCTGAATCAAAAGTTTGGCTTCCATACTGAGAATTCAAAGTTTTTTATCTCTGCGAAATCTTCCGGTCCTGTAACATTTCTAAATTCCTGGCCGACCCATCCCTGTGTGACTTTGGAACTGAACTGAATCTTCTCTATTTTAAAAACGAATGCTAAACTGGCAAGTACACATAATTTCTTTCGTTTTCGATTCTTTCAGAGTAAAAATCTCATTTACAACTTGATATTGAAATATGCAAAGGCCGAGTTTCACTTTGCTTCAGCCCTTAGCGGACGCCGCGAATGATAGAACTGTATACAGTATATTCATTGATATGATGGATGAAATTGTACGCCTTAACGTCGGGGGGACAGTTTTTCAAACAAGTAGGAATACTTTAGTATTTGATGCGAATTCACGATTTTATGAAATGTTCTCCGACGATCAAACGTTAGAAAATCGCGAAGAGGTTTTCATCGATCGCGACGGAACTCACTTCAGATACATTTTAAACTACCTAAGAACGGGTTTAGTAACTCTACCCAGGGACGCCAACGCTTTACAAGAACTATTAATAGAGGCACAATACTACGATCTGAAGGAAATAGTCGACGTTTTGAGCAAGCCATGTTACCAAATCAAAGGAATTTTACCTCATAGTTTCACGCAAGAAGCGTTTCACGATTCTTTGATTCTCAATTCTGAAACAAGAAAGTATCTTCACGTGTTTCTCGGTGGGCAGAAAGTTTATAACTTACTATACCGTGGCTCAAGAGATGGCTGGAGTGCTGATACTTTTCACTGTCTGTGCGATAATGCAGGGCCCACCGTTACTGTTATACGAAAGGGTAGTAGTGTTTTTGGCGGCTTTACTCAGCAGTCATGGTCAGGTTAGTTACGTGAAGAATGATAAAATGTTTCTGGTATGATTGCGTCGTWACTGCTAAATAAATTATATACAACATAATTAGCTTTTTAAAGTATGTCCGAGTAGTCTGCTTCGGTTCCCTTCGCCATCTTGAAAGGTAGCCGTGCCTTTACAGCGAAACGAGACAACCGTTGAGCATGCAATGATAGATACCTGTGAAAGATTATCTGTAGAGTGATGTGAAAGAAGGTTTCTAGCTATCATTGCACGCTCAACGGTCGTCTCCCTCGCTTCGATGCAAAGGCACGGCTACCTTTCAAGATGGCGCAGGTAAACGTGAAGAAGACTATTGGTGCTGAAAGTCATAATTATCGGAGAGCACGAGGTCGAGTTCACGTGCCCTGTCTTTAAGATCGTCTATTGAGGTTGGCCAAATACTTACAAGGCAAGACAATTTACAAGAATTAGTTTCAGAGTCCTGTTGACTAAATATCGATGATATATGTATTCTGTATTGCATTAACCACGGCTAAGTACCGTTCGTTCCTTTTTACAGGAAGCGGAAGTAAAACAGACCCTAATGCATTTCTCTTCAGCATCGTGAATCCGTCCGGACTGGGACCAGTAAAACTGCCTCTAATCGAAGAAGATGACGAAGATACCATTTCTTGCAACCCCTGCCAGGGACCTGTATTTGGTAATGGTCGTGATTTAGGAGTAGTGGATCACCCAAACAGGACTAATTGTATCACTCGACTTGGTAACAGTTTTAAGTGCCCAGCAGGACAGGTTCCAACGCTGTTTCTAGCTGGTATCTTAACGTTTACTGTCAGTGAGATTGAAGTGTATGGCGTCAACGAATCACCCAAGTTGGTGTCAGCGGTGTAGTATGTGAACTTACAAGCAACCAATCTCGAGCCAATCTCGAGCCCAGAGTCTTCCCGGTAATGTCACGCATTGACTTCCGCTGGATGGCAAAAGTGCGGGCTCTGGGTACGAGATTGACAAGCAGCTATACGAGAGTATATTTTGTAATTCAAATAAATACCGTTCAAATGTTATACGCAGTTATTTACTTGTAATACTGAAATTACTGAAATTTTTACGCGGGCTCAGAAAGACTGAAATTCGAGCTTTGGTGATAGACGGGCGGGAACTTTAATATGAAAAGTTAATATTGCCAGCGGCATCTCATTTCAAGTGATATTGCCTGATATCGTCTGGGTTTTTTTTACTATGAATGATAGAATGGAAAAAAATTGTAAGCAAGCCAAATGCACTTGTTTATAAGTTTGATGAAAACAATTTTTTGAGTGCAACGCTAAGATATTATAAGCTTTCTTAATTAATGCAATCTATGAWATATTTGGTTTATCGCATTTTATCCGAGAAGTTTCTTCGGAATGTTTGCGAGAAAATTCAGGAAACAGTTCAAATACTTCTTTGGTTGAAAACATGAAAACTGAAAACGTTTTTCGTGCCAAAATGAAAGCTTGACAAGTTATATGCTATACAGAGAAAAATTCACAAGAATAGAAACTATAAAAATCACAGTTCCCTTTTTGATGTGAATATTTATATATGGTCAAAAATTAAATGTGGTGTTTTGACTTTGCGGTGAAAAGAGAATAGCAAGAGTGATTTACAGAATTGCCATGCTCTTGTTATTGTAATTTGATACTTTCGAGCCAAAACAACCCAACCAGCATTGAATAATTATCGTTTTTCAACCTGTTGATAACTTAAGAGGGATATTTTAATGATTTATTGCCCAGTTGTATCACACTTGTCCTCACTCCATATAGTTCAGGACACCCATAGGTTCATACTGCATTTCTTCTTATATATTCTTCACGTACATGCTAATTTTTCGGTGCTTTTTTAATGTTACTACCCATATCTAGGGAAATTCATGAAATTTTACCGATATTTAAATCATGACGCGTGTCTGGGAATTGTTTGAATCAATAGACGCGGTTGCAGTCCAAAAACAAAGCCCAGCCTTGCATTTACATTTTCTATTCACTTCTAAGGGGATTTTCCATTGGTTGGAATTCAAAGATAAGAAAACGTGAATAGAAGCGGCGATGTGATTGGTTGATTGTTGTCGTTTATAATTTTAGCAGGTGTAATGGTCACACAAAGCGACGAATTGATCGACAAAGAAACTTGTAGTATTTGGGAGATCGTTCTGCGAAAAAAATGGATAAATTTAGAGAGAAAAGGATAGCTATGCAAGAAGAGATAGACGAACTGGACAAAAAGGAACAGTTAGCACAAAAAAAACTAGTTCGTTTGACCGAAATAACGGAGCTGCATCAACGAGAGCGCGATACGTTGAAGAAAAGTTGTAGCTTGACTGAACAAAATTTAGACAAGAAGGAGGATATGCTTGAGGAAAAACTCCATTTGCTGAAAGATGCTTTACTCAAACAAGAACGCGAAGACCAAATTATTAAAGTTTTAGTCAAAAGAGAAGATGAAATGGACGACGAAACGAATCGCTTGGAACCGAAAGTAAAGCGAGCGATACAAAGAGCCGACGAAGCAGAGATGAAATACCATGAAGTTGTGCGAAAACTCGCTTTAGCAGAGACTGAGTATCACAAAGTAAAAGCAAGACAAGAAGAAAAAGAGGAACTAGTGCAAAAACTAGAGGATTCGCTTAAAACCGCGGGCAGACAGATTCGCCATCTTGAAGTGCAGGAAGAGAAATCAGGCGATCGAGAAGACCAGAAATTTCACTACTGCCGAAAGTTGATCGATAGAGTAGATCATTTTATCATGCGAGCTGAAGAAGCCGAAAGAAGGATTAGAATGCTGCAAAAAACATACGATGCAATAGAAGAAGAAAAGGTTACTTATGAAAAGAATACTAAATCAATGCGACGCGAACTGGAAGAAACATTGAAAAGTTTAGACCATTTATAATTCTCTCAACCATCTATTCCTTGCAAATCAGGAATAATATTTTTAACATTGTTGAACGAACACGTGGCACTTTAGAATTATAATCTTGACATGCTTTAAAGAAAGTTTATGTTTCAAGCCATGTTTAGACAWGATTCATTTTAATCAAGCCATAAAAAAGCTATGACTGATCTTGTCGGCAAAGTGTAAGTAGTTTATTTGGATATCATACCAGTAAAGTTATTCAGCAAAACGCAGCGGTATAAACRTTATAAATTATACCGTAAATTAATTATTTGATAGCAAATAAAAACGCTGTATAAATCATATAAAATGTTTTAGGGTATTCTACACAATTCTACTATAGTATAATGGCGATGGGGTATATTGAAAAAGGTCGGCCGCATTTCCGTACTATCAGGTCAGCCTTACCAGCATTTAAAAAGCGACATTAAAGAGCAAGAGTTCGGATTTACTTCATTTGTAAAGGGAAAACTTCACTGACTCAGAATTCTGAAAGACTGTATGTAGTGAGCGCACTTTTAGTCATTACGTCACAACCACCAAACTTATGTAGTCACCACGAACTGAAATCACTGTGAATCTCTAGATAATCGGAGGAGTCACGCTAGATGCGGTATATCTGCATTTGCCGATCATTCTCGACATCTTTAATAATGCAAATTTATGAAGTTCTGATTTATAAAGTTGACCAGAATTCTTTTCGGGCATAACTTGGGCCAAACAAACAAAACAATCTGACAAAACAGACAAAAACACTACAATTCCTTAAAAGCAGAAAAAGCTACAGAAGAAAATAAGAAAATAATGCTGTCCTGTAAGAATCTAAAACAATTTTGACAAGTTTCCCCTAATAATATTTCTAGAGATAACTACGCCATGTTACACAATAAGGAATGGGGTAGAAATTCAAAATAAAAACCTCGACAATTTTGTTTTGAATCTAGTGCTTTTTATTTGGCTATCAGGTTAAGTGCACTTAACGTAGCAGCTGTTAGCAGGCACATTGGTGCAGGGTACTTGTATTCAAAACTATTAGTCTCATGGTAGGGCATTTTACAGTGCGTTCAAGTGACATATGGAGTCAATTTCGTATGAGTGGGAAACGGACGGTACTGTACTGTAACCGTAATCGTACTGTAACCAAATTCTAGTGTCTCATTGCTTCACAAAAAATGTGCAGGCCAGKTCCGGTAACTGTGCGGTAACCGTGCGGTAATTTCTACCGTACTCATACCCACTCATGACGAAATTGACTCTATAGCATTAAAGAGACGAAAAGTTGATTGGATTGTACACTTGCCAAGAAATTAAAGCCTAACTCTTCAAAGAAACTACTACAATTCAGAGTAAAGTTGCAAAGTTCCTAACCATCTYATTTAGTCTTCTTGGCAGCGGTGGCAGCCGCTTTCTCTGCTTGTGCAGCTTTCTTTGCGTTCGCCTTCTCTTGCTTAGCGTTGGCTGGACTCTTCTTCGGTTCGCCGTCTACTTGCTGAGTTGACTGCTCTGCTTGCGCAGCATTGCGTTGTCTTGCAGCTAGTAGGTCTTTATTGGGCTGAGGAGCCGAACTTGATTTAGTCAAGTCTGCAAGCTCACCAACCTTGACACCGCCAGTAAATGCGAACAACAACACTTCGAGTCCTACAACTGTAGGCATGAAGATACAAAACCAATTAGCAGAAAAATACTTTCCAAATGTCACTAAAAAGGCGACAACTGTGACGGGCATGAAGAATTCCCTCAGAAACATCGTGATTTCACTTTTAAATTAGTCGAGYTGCAAAATCTTTGACAAATTTAGGTCGTCAGTCAGTTCACCCAACGGCACGTTTATTGAAATGTTGGCTCGCTTGTTGGCAATTGCTGGGCTACGCTTTTGTTTGCGACGCTGTCGTGAATCTGTGAAGTTGTTCGTTTGCAGGTGGACAATTCATTCAAGTGTCTTAACAGTGACATTTTTATCTTATTAGGTGCCAGATATGCGTTACATTGAAGCTGTTTGCGCTCATTTGAATTCACAATTAAATTAATGAAAAAAATGCTTGAAGTGCTYGAGTMGCAAAAACGCGTCCAGACTATCAAGCCACTTAACTAACAACATATGACTTTTTTCGATACTATTTCATTGAGCAATCTTTAAGTAATGAGGGCTCTTTCTGTTATTGTTTTTCTACTTTGAAGGTGTTTAAATACTAATGACAGCAGCGTTTTTTTCTTTTTCTGATCAAATATTTATGCCATTTTGGAGTCGTTTCCAAAACAGGCCTAGAAAATTGTGACAGTAGTGCTTTGACGAGGGCACATGMCGAATGAATTCTGCATTTCATGTTAATGGTCTTCTGAATTTCACCGTAAATCTAATGATATATCAATTTGTCGCCAGTTTTCGCCAAAAGATAGTAAGGCTATGTTATTCGTTGCTATGGCGCGGCACACTTATAAGTAAACCAATCACATTGCATCATTCCTTTAGCTGCCGCCTATCTCTGAAGCGCATGCGCTGAGCTTAACAAAAAACCTGCATATATTATTTCAGCTACTAATAAAAATTAATCCAGTATTTCAATTCWAGCTTTCCTTTTTCATTAGTGGTGTTAGCTTGTAATTAACTTGGCGCTTTCGTCAATGAATCGCGACTCAAAAACGCTTGTAAACACAAAATGTCCGCTTTCGAATAGCGCATCAGAAAAACTATTGTCCTTTATGATAGATCTGATTCATAATTGGCCTTAAATTACCTTATTAAATTCAATTATATTAAAAAACATACAGTAACAAATGATTTCAGCTTGCTGTTTACAATATAAGTGTTCTTAATAATTATTTAACGGTGCAATATCAGTGAGTTCGAAGTGCACAGCATGTAGTGACAGCGAGTTACTTKACTAATTTCTCTACAAATCATCCATATCAGTTCTATTGCAAAATACTAATTGAGCTATGCACCGCAAACCAAGCGCAAATCGATTTGCAACAGCTTTAACTAAAAATAAATGCCGGTTTAAAAAGGCTTGCTCTTCTGATAAGTCCAGAGGCTACATTGTAACAGCAACCCACGAAGAAAAAGAATTACAATTTTACATAGTTATTAACTATGRATTTTACAGCAATTCATCAAATTTGATGAATTATTGATCCAATCGCCTTTCCAAACAGGTGGTCAATTGTTACTTTGAGGTAAAAAGAGCTGGTATTTGTTTTCTTGATCCTGTCCCTATTATATATATGAACAGCCAACGTCTTTCAACAAACATTGTGGTTTGCTAGTTCTGTGGAAGTGACAATATGGCGCCAGTTCCTCCWGCACCTCAAATTGAAGGAGCCTTRAAGTCGACAATCAACTCCATTGGGTTTGGAGCTATTACCACAGTTTTAGCRGTAACATTTGGCAGGCTYTTYATCCCAAACTTTTTCGTTATCATCGTCTCGTTTGTGGTATTCTTGGAGTTTGTCTTGCTGATATGCATCCCAAGAAGGAAAGAGCATTACGAGCTGTATCAGGCCCCAGGAAGGAGAGCAGTTCACAACATCGGAGGGGCTGAAGTTCCACAAATCAACATCCAAGGACCTGAAGGCACCGACGGGACTCCSAAGAAAAAACAAGGAGTTCGAGCCAGGTTGAAAAAAGATCACAATAAGCCTGGCAAAAAGGATCAGCTCGGAGTTGGTRGTTACGACGAAGATCCYGAAGGGGTAAGCACTGGAGGGCGTTCAAGCCCAAAACGTTCACCCAAAAYYGAGGGCAAAGCCGCAAAGGACGACGGATCAAAAGCAGCAAAAGACGAGGAAAGTAAAACAAAGGAAGGGAAGGCAGAAAGTGCGCAGTCAGAACAAGACGACAARTCCAAAGGAAAAGGAAAAGGTGGCTGGCGAAAGAGACTAACTTCGAAATCACAAAGCGAAGAATCTGCYTAAAACATTTGAATTTCTCGATGATAAATGAACTTGTTTGCTTTTATAGTAWTTTATAGAAATGGTGCTGAATGGTAAAATGCCAATTAAGTAAACTGTTTGTTCAGTACTATTTTAAAGACGTACCAAATTAGCTGTATATATTAAGTACTGTAATTTTAACATTACTATATCACGAGATACTACACTCGTTCAAGATAAACTGCTATGTCTTAAATAATTTCGCACGTAGCTTAATGTTATATCAATGATTATATTTAGCTCAAATTGTCAATTGAGTCGTTGTTATCTAGATTAAACAGGAAATGTTCAACTACGCTAGCGGGTTTCACCAATACCCGAGTGATTTGTACAGATGCACACTTTTCAGACGTTATTAAAAATGTTGTTTATCCACATGAAAAAGACTTTACTAAACCCTTATTAATAAACCTTGTTCAACTTAGCGGGTTGTATATGTCAAACTGTCCTTATTTCTGAATTCATAATAGTTTGTTCACAGCAGAATCCATTTGACAATTTGTTACAAAATGATAAACTAAAAAAACAAACACAGATGGGAATAAACAAATAATGTGATGAAAAATCATTCTTGCGCAGTAAGAACCGAAGACATCTTTCGTTGTGGCGTCGAGCACCTTCCTCATATTGAGGATACAGCAATATGAAGTTTGTTTCCGACTCGGTGGAACTGAAAAGGGTCTATAATGACGTTCCCGACTTCATGAAAATAGTAACGTATTTTGGTAATTAAAGTATAAGCTTCATTTATTAATTTGGATGTACAAAGTACCAGAAAGGAGTGGTCTATCGTCTATATACTGAAACGACATAACACAGGGAGCCCAAATAACAATGTGTCGATCAACACGACGACAATGAAACAAATAGTAAAATTTTATTTGTTTGGTCCAATTCTATATCGACAATATTTAAAACTGCCCATGATATGTTAATTTGYACTGTAAGTAGTTTTTCTACAGTTATTTTATTTTTTTAAAATGGCTTATATAGTGTTATTTGCAATTTTATCTTAACTACATTAATTATGCAAAAGTCAAATGAAAACCCGGCCCCCAACCTTCGGGGATGGCCAGAGAATTAATACATTATATCCAAATACTTCTACAGCTATTTTAACAGAGGAGGAGGGGATAAMGTYAAAATAAAAGCCGGGACATCATTGAAATATTAATTCTCCCGCTATTCCATGGGGGAAACCGTGTTTTCAATTGACCGCTGCAATATTTCCACGACTTTTATCTCAAAAATTTCTGCTTTGTTTTTACTAATACATTTATGCAGWCTTAAGCAATAAGATATTTGGATTCTTAGACTATAAATTCTAGTTATCTTTGCTGGTATTACCTTATAACACAACCTAAACTGTTACATAGCGCAAATATTGCTACTGATAGACAGAGGAAAAGGTAAAGAAAAAGAAAAGTTTTTTTCTTCCCACTTTCCTATGCTGGCTAGTGTTTGTGCCCAATGATGGCTTTTGGTGATCTTAGTGAGCAYTAYTTTACATTRATTCTAAATTCCTTAAAAAATAACTCCTACTAACTTTAGATTCGTTTAATCACCATCAGTCATCTGTAGAAACTGCGCGTAGGAATCTCTACTGCATTCACCTTTTGTATTGAATGCAAATTTGTAATAACTGCCATCCGCACATATAGCTAAGACAAAAAAAGAGGATGGGATGAGATGAATAGTTTGAGAATAAAGAAAAAGTGGACAGAAAAGAGGGGGAAACAAACAAACAAACAAACAAAACAAAGAAAAAACTCCAAAGCATTGAATAAAATTACTTGGTAGATTAGAAATAGTACAGTCAAGAGGAGTGTAGAAGAGTATGGTGTAGAATGGGTTAGAATGGGATAAAACAGAAACAGCATAGAACATCATACTAGTTTACCACTAGTTCCCACCATAGAACATCATAGTACAACACAAAACTGAACAGTGTGTAACAGAACAAAATGCTTGCAACATGACAGAAAAAAAGTGAGAGTAAAATAGAGAAGAGTGGAGTAGAACAAGGGAATATAGAATAGATTAAAAATGTAATTCATTTCATACCTATAACAGTGTTCTTTTCGACACCAAATGAACAAATRCAATGGGGATCGCCGGGAACTTGAACTCTTGAGAAACTCCACTTGGAGCTGAAATACTTCGGGAGAAAACTATGTGCCGAAGCAAGACTTAAAAAAACAATATTCAAATTTTAGATTCTTATAACAAACTAGACCTTTTTTCAATATTTACCATTTATCAATATTTAATACTACGTAATATCTTTTGTATAAGATAATGCTTTTGAATTAGGTATTAAATGGATTTGAGTGTTCAACATTTACCTTGACTGTTTATTTTTCTTTGGGTCCTCAACMGCAAATATATGAATTGTACCATGGTCACTGGACACGCATAGTAGCTCTGAATCATGGTTAAAATTAATACTGAAAAACAAAAGAGATTATTAACAGCAATTTATTATCGTCATCATTTCAATCATGACACTCAACAGGTAGCTTACACAAGCACAAAATATTAATAGAACTGAAAACCAATTGATTATAAACATACGCAAATAATGGTGCATTGCTGTATCAGTCTTTCATTTCAAATGCACTATCATAAGAACTATTATCAATAATCATCAATAGATTATAAATACCCACCAATAAATGTTCGCACTACCAGATCCTCTTCTTAATTCATGCAGCTGGGCACCACTGCTTGTATCGAASACTCTTATAAGAGTTCCCTGTGCAAGAAAGTACAATCAACAGATTAAGAAAACAACAACAACCTGGCAATCATTGTAAAAAGGTTATATCATATCTGAAAGCAATTCTATTAAGATCGCAATAAGGATGATTTTGACAATATGACAATGAATTAGCATTATTTGTACTTTTTCAGAAGCTGTAGCAAGTCTTGTTCCTTGTARGTTCATAGCAATGCAAGACATAGCAGCTTCATGGGCTGCRATCTCTAATGGTGGTCTCTCGGTATTTGCCAAGTCCACTATTTGTACRTGACCAGTTTTACGCCCAGGGAAGGCTAATAATGAGTTGTTGCTACTGGGACACAACACACAGAGACCTTTGRAAAACAAATSAACTTGTTAGAGAATTTCACTGTGATTTGAGTTCTGAAACACAAAATCATATTGCATTGTGGTCTAGCTTCAGTCCAAAAAACACCATATTTGGAAGGATGAAAGAAAGATGTTTGTATCAAATCTAGACCACAATGCAATGCAAACTGCTATWTCAGGAAACTGCCTGTGGCTTTCGGGTAACACAACAGTTTACTTTTAGCCTCATGATAAACTCAATGAAACACATCTTGAAACACAATTCCATGTATTCTACGTGGAGTAATAAAATGAAGATTTTTTCAGGAAAACTTTGTATTTYGACTTCAACAACATTCAATAAGGTGACTGCTGTATGTTAAGTGATCTAGTTGACCTGGAATAACAGGATAACACTTGAAATGGATCATATAGTACCTTTTGGGTTGTTTGCTGTCTCAAACACATGAAGCTGCTGTGGTTTTTGTGTGAATGTAAACACTTTGATCATGTTTTCCAGCACCACTACAATTCTACATAAAGTAACAAAATAATGTCATTAGTAAAATAAGGACATGCCATAAAATACTGTATAAACCAATACACACACAAAAAAAACAATTTCCATTTGGATGGTACAAATCCTGATATTTTTTCATCATTATATTATACCTATCTCTCCGCAGTTTGACTGCTTTCACAGCACTTGAAAAATCCAATTCAATCACACATTTCTTCTTTAAGTCATCCCAGACCATAACTGAAATAATAAAAAAAATTACTTGAATTAGAATAATCACAGACTTTTGACCCCCCTGGCATCAAAAGGACCCTGATGTCCCTGAATAAGGTATAAATAATATGAAGATTACCTCTTGTGGGTGGGTATTTTGGATTTCTGCCGCCACCAACTAGGGCTAAATAATTACACCTAAACAACATTTCAACATGGCCGATACCTCCATCTGTAAAATCTAAGAAAAAAACAAAAAATTAAAACAAAAATACAATGACACTGTCTGTTGTTTTGACCCATCATTAGTCAACTTCACTTTCTAGTGTTTAAAACCTTTACAGCACAAAGCCAAAAAGTGTCACAACCAAAAATTTCATAAATTCTTTTACTACTTGAATCTGAAACTACTTTTGGGCCAAATTTACTCTGTTTAGATACTTTTCAACTCAAATTCCAGTTGAAGATTAATAATCTCTTTTATCTTTTTATGAACAGAGAGAATGTTTAATTTTAGGCTTGAAATGTGGGGAAAGAATGTGCATAAATTATGGAGGGTCRCCCTTTAAAGCTTTAGCAAAAGTTTTGAATCTTGAAGCGCATTGTGAATTGTTACAAACAATTTATCAGTCAATTCCAAGGATGAAATTCACAAGTAACACCTGGAATGACAATTGATAGATGGGGGAGGGGTGTCTGGTATTGATTAACAACAGCATTATTCTCATTTTTGGACCAATTCACAATGCACTGTGAAAATCAAAAATACTCACGCATTAGTTGTTTCACAGATAAAACAAACTATAGTTAGTGTTAAATAATTGCCTCTCTAGATCGTGCTGATCTTTTTAAGTTATCAAGCTAACATAAAATCACTTCCTCTTTGCACTTAGATATTTATGTAAAATCAAATTATTGCACACCTTGTCTTTCTTTCTCCTTGAGTGGGTCGCAATTATAAATCCTGAAACCATTTTCCATTGCACAGGCAAAGCATCCTACAAATTACAAGATTATCAAGATGTATGCTTTCAATAATATTACGAATTACAAAACATGTTTAGCTACAACATAAGCAAAATAATGCTGAAATTTAGCAAATGCACTGACCTTGGTCTTGATTAAATCCCACGTAAAGAAGTCCATTCCCCGAGGACCGAGGCTGCACTATATTCATCTTTGTTACATAAGAAAGAGCTTWAGAAATATTGTGAAAAGTTTGAGAAACAAGTTCGCAAAATACGCATTCATTCGGCCATTTTGAAGTAAATTGCACGTGACACCACACTGCGTCGTGTGAATAAGACAAGCACTCGTCCAATCAAAACGTGCTTTATAAAACACGCCTTTTCTAAAAAGAATTTTGATTGGGTAATTGCTTTATAATTCCCATAGTTCATAGSGGTATTTTGAGAATGAAAACAAATATGGCGGACGATGATTGAGTTTTGAGTGATTGTGCGAACGAAGAGGAAAGATCAYTTGTTTTGAATATATATTTATGATGGCTATGAATACAGGAGGAAGAAAGGTATTTAACGCTAAGCCACCAGATAAAGGAAGTTTTCCTCTTGACCATGACGGTAGGAATAGTTGTCCAACGATTGTTTCTTACTATCTAAGCTCATATCAATCTAATATTTTATTGATTTGGTTATGTTGTTTTCATTATTTTAGGCGAATGCAAAGCTTTCATGAAGAAATACATGACATGCCTTCGAGACCACAAAGGCGATAATCACTCCTGTAGAGAAGAATCCAAAGCATATCTTGAGTGTAGAATGCAAAGGTAAGTTAATAAAACTGTAAGTGAATGAAAAATAGCCTGCGTCACRTCCGGACAAACTTTCTGTTAAGTCGGACTTAACAGAAAGTTTGTCCGGATGTGACGCAGGCTAATGAAAAATAGAAAAAGCGAAATGAAATCTACGAAATTGTGAATCAGGGCTTTATAAAGTGAGGCCATTTAAAAAAAAATATTTTGTATTTATAGAGCTTATCGTTCTGATGCAGTATTTAGAGCATTATAGAATTGAATGCAAAAATGATTAAACCTCTCTTTCATTTTCCTATTTCTATTCTCATCTCTTCCTGCTTGCTTACTTCCTGTTTAGTGTGAGAGTCAGGTGTAATTTATGCATATTCTTATCTGCCCTTAAATTGGAAGGGAAAAAGCATCTAAAAAATTGTTTGTTTATTTACATTACTTGATACCAGGACCACTCCTTCGTTTAGTAATTTGGGGGTATAGWAAAGTAATTTAGGGGTGGAGTAAAAGGACCTGTAATGTTGATCGTCTCATCAAGTATTTGAGTTTTTCATCTGCTTATATTCATAATTGCTTTCAGAGAACTCATGGCAGTTGAAGACATGAACAAACTTGGCTTCAAGGATCTCAACTCATCCAAAACAGCAAGCCAGAATTCCACAGCCAGCTGATACATGTACTGGTACTTGGAAACACTGTGAAAAAGTAGAAAAATGTAAAATAGCATGTTAAACAAGAGACAAAGTTTATATCGTGAGATATAAAATTTTTTTAAGAAATACCTTAAATTTTTCAATAGAGGAGACAAAAGGCAATTTGGCTTTATATTTCCATTTTTGCACTCCTTCATACAGTCTGCCCCTGAGAAGAGTGATGGGTTGATTGTCAAAATAATGAACTTGTGATTGATGGATCATGAGGTACCCCAATGAACTGCAAAGAATGTAAATATTAGGTTTATTTCAACATCAAAGATCATCATTAAAAAACTTCAAGGTAAAGGTTATACCACCCTAATAGAATCTGCAAGTGTCATCCTTGTCCCCAGGCCCTCATACGGTTCGTATCATGACTGACCTTAAAAGGGATCTATAAAGGTAAAGACCTGGGGATAAGAGGGTCTAAATCAACAAAATAAATACTCACCCACCCATCCCTCTTCCTTGTATCTAGAGTCGTCCCCATATTTCTCCAACTTTTGTAAGAATTATGAACCAAAATATCTTGGTTTGCGTGAAGAATTTTTGAAATGGCATGGTTAAATTACTCTAGGCTTAAAATGTCAAGTACCTCGGTCTTTGAGACAGAGTAAACTATTTAGTGGCGTGTAAAGTATCGTCTTATANTTTCAATAGAGGAGACAAAAGGCAATTTGGCTTTATATTTCCATTTTTGCACTCCTTCATACAGTCTGCCCCTGAGAAGAGTGATGGGTTGATTGTCAAAATAATGAACTTGTGATTGATGGATCATGAGGTACCCCAATGAACTGCAAAGAATGTAAATATTAGGTTTATTTCAACATCAAAGATCATCATTAAAAAACTTCAAGGTAAAGGTTATACCACCCTAATAGAATCTGCAAGTGTCATCCTTGTCCCCAGGCCCTCATACGGTTCGTATCATGACTGACCTTAAAAGGGATCTATAAAGGTAAAGACCTGGGGATAAGAGGGTCTAAATCAACAAAATAAATACTCACCCACCCATCCCTCTTCCTTGTATCTAGAGTCGTCCCCATATTTCTCCAACTTTTGTAAGAAGTATGAACCAAAATATCTTGGTTTGCGTGAAGAATTTTTGAAATGGCATGGTTAAATTACTCTAGGCTTAAAATGTCAAGTACCTCGGTCTTTGAGACAGAGTAAACTATTTAGTGGCGTGTAAAGTATCGTCTTATATACGAACTAGGCAGACTAAATAAATACAGTAATTGACCTGTGGGGCCGTTGTAAGACATGAGAGTAATATGAAACCTTTTTAAGAGTAATACGACACTCTTTTTAAGCGTGAAATTTGTATCGGAGCGCGCTGTCGTGAAATATCACACGTGGAGACGAAGGACAACTTCAACAGTAGCGAAACACGCAGTTATTCAGCCTCATACAAGGTAAGGGTTGAATTTGGATACAGTCAATGCAAATAGTTTAGTTAGGCCAGTGAGGTCATCATATTCAAATGAGGGCTTATTGTATGTTACTTGGCTGCGATAGGATTACTGTGAATTTACAGGCGAGTTTGTGATACTCTATCTTCACTGTGAATTTTACCACTGTAAAGCGCGATATTCACTAAGTCCTAAAGCTGAGCAATACTTGGAAGGTACATAAGTAATAAAATCCCCGCATTGAATTGATGCGCGTCGAATTTAATCTTAAGTACTACTTCTCTTTGGCGTCATGCTATTTAAAGCATTTTAAGGGGTTTTTGGAACTCTTCTACCTCCCCTTTGTCTAGGGGAAGTACAGATAGGTTCCAAAAATCCCTTAACAACTGTTTAAAATGCATAAATGGCAATATTATTGAGCGAGACGATAAGTGTGCTTAATTTCTTTTATTCTGAGCTTTGTTTACTAAATAAATGAAAAAACATTCCCTTATACATGCTTAGCCCTAGTTACTTCTTGACATGCAACTGCTCTGAGGAAGACAGAGACGCTTGTCTTTCGATTCGTATCTTGAATTCTTTCAAAAGAAAAATATAGAAGTTTGAAGCATTAGTAAAGGAGCGGGCCTTTTTGAGATCATTAGATGCAGGAAATAAAATTAAACATGCCATATGAAATAAAATTTAAAAAAATGTAATAATAGTAGTAGTTAGTTCATCTAGAGCAGAGCGTCGCGAACAATAAATAGCCGAAAAGCAAAAGCTAAGAGGTACGTTTTCACTGCCGCGACGATTCCTTGTAGTCCAACAATAAATTGTGACACCGACTTGGATAATAAGTTGATGATACTTCTCAGATTGACAGCCCACGATTTCCTTGATTTGACATTGAATTCWTATTTAACAGGATGGTTGCGGTTACAAGCGGAAACGTTTATAAAGCGCTTGTGCAATTTACCCTCTTAGTAATAGCATTTGCCTTGATGGGAGAGTCGCTATCAATGACGACTACCACACAACCGCCTACTACCAGGAAAGACCCAGTTACCACGGATGCAGACGAGTCCCATACAACTCGTAATAATGGTTGTCTTTACGAGGGTAAATGGTATCTTCCAGGTGAAAAAATATCACAAGGTTACGATGGTGAAAATTGGTGTTTCGGTGTGGTCTGTGATGAAAATGGTCAAGTTCTTTATTGGGATAATTTCAACTGTGGAACTACTGCACCTACGACTACACCTCACACGACTTCAGAACTCGCCACAACGACGCCCCCACCACCAGTAACCACACCAATACCATTCACTACTCCTCTTGGTTGTTTCCAGAATGGCAAATGGTATCGTCCAGGTGAACAGATGTCACGTGGTTTTGATGGMAAGAACTGGTGTTATGGGACATACTGTGATCGCAATGGACAAGTTGTAGCATGGGATGACTGGACGTGTGGCACAACAACCACACCCACGACAAATATWCCTACCTCCACCCCTCCCTTGCCTACCAAAAGAAGAGGATGTTTCCAGAATGGCAAATGGTATCGTCCAGGCGAAGAAATGTCGCGTGGTTTTGATGGCAAGAACTGGTGTCATGGGACATACTGTGACCGATATGGACAAGTTGTAACTTGGGACAATTTCAACTGCGGTCCAACTACTGTCTCAACCACACATGCGCCAACTACTACCCCTACCACACATGCGCCAACTGCTACCCCTACCACGCATGAGCCAACTACTACCCCTACCACGCATGAGCCAACTACTACCCCTACCACGCATGAGCCAACTACTAYCCCTWCYACGCWTGMGCCAACTRCTATCCCTTCTACGCTTGCGCCAACTGTTATAGCAAGAAAAGCCAATAAGATTCCGCACAGATTTCGTTCTCGAGGCTGCTACTACCGCGGTAATCGGTACGAACCGAACAGTAACATACTTCAGTCAACCAACGGAAATGGCTGGTGCTATGGCAAACGCTGCAGCGACGATAACCAAGTTATTCTCTGGGATGATTTTACATGTCAGCCAAGAAAATCTGGTGGTTGTTGGTATGGTGGATATCGGTACGCGTACGGCAGCGAACTATTCCGTGTTCGAAACCAGTTTTTATGCTATGGAGGAGTGTGTGGTAAGAACGGGAAGATCAATTCTTGGTCGCGGATGAGCTGCCGGAAGGAAATGCAGTTTTACGGGGGAAGACTGAAGCCGAGCTGGTGTAAGTACCGCGGTGAAAGGTACCCAAGAGGAAGTGTTTTCGCCGTTAGGTCATTGTCCAAGAGGCATGGGTTTGGGTGGTGCATTGGAGCAAAGTGTGTCGACAATGGGCGCATTGTAACATGGGGACCAAAGTGGGCACCTGGATATTGCTGAACATTATTMAAACGGTGCTGAATTTATTGAAAACTGTAGAACAATACGTTAATACTATGAAATGAATGTTTGATACAGTCTATGAAAGATATATAATAGACATATGTAATCAAAGTTTAYATTTTTGCATGGTTTTATATCAATAATAATGTAGCATAAATTTTGCAGATAAAAATCTAAGATTTGATGAAGTGTTAAGTTGTAACATTAACTATTATTTATGTGATACCATAGTCCTATGTATAATTTAATCTTAGGGGGTAGAGGTAAGCACGCAATAGCTTCATCAACGTTGCTATATTTGCGTAGTAATTGCGAACGAATAACAGACCGACACAGGTGTGTTAACTCTCTAACGTTATTGGCTGCTTTAAGTAACAGCGATAGAACATCTAGGGGGAGGCAAGAAAAAAGCGACACCCCCCTTGATAGAAGGCCGACGTTAGCTTTGACCTGCGAATCGTATAGGAGCCACACTATGTCCCACAATTCCCCTTCAGCTGCAGTAACAATTGGAGTTTTACCAAAGATTGTTTCAATGCTGGGATCGGCTCCATAGGCTAATAAAATACGTACACAATCGACATCTTTTGCTACGTGCAATGCAGTTCTACCATTACGATCTTGGAAATTAACATCCGCTCCATGACGACAAAGAATTTCCGTGGCGGCGACTCGGTCTTTCTTGGATGAGGCGTATTGCGCGTAGACAAGCGGTGTTGCGCCCCAAACACTTCCAAGACCCACCTTGGCGCCGTGGATGCACAGCGTTTCCATGACATCTAGACGCCCGTGAAGCGTTGCCATGGACAAAGGGGTCTTACTCATGCAATCTTGCGCGTTTATTTCAGCTCCGTGTTTAAGGAGGATTTCTACACATGCGCTAGAACGCGCAAAGTGTAGCGGTACGTAGCATGATACGGAACAGWAGTTACGRAAACAAGACGTAGAAATAAAATCGCTGTAGAAGAGACTACACACACATTCACGRTATTTTGTGTCAGCGCCTTGAGAACAAAGCCAACCTACGCACTCCACGTTGTCGCTTTCCACGGCAGCTCGCAGTGGACTGACGGGATAGTCTGGGCACCAGTTTCTCAGTCTCCCAAGTCCGTTAATATCTGAAACTAGAAGAATGGCAACAGGAAGAAAATAAGTTGAAGAAACCTGACAAATAGTWCAATTTCGTTGACAAGAATAAAAGCGCAAGTTTGTTCTTATGTTTTTCATCRTGCTTTCTTGTTTGTAWGCTGAAATCAGGCTTTTCAAGTACACATTGYCGAAATATTCTAGGCCTTCACGGCTTTTGGATCCATACTGTTATTGATAATAACGTACAGCGGTTTTCCAAGTCGATGATTTTTAAAGTGACCATCTATAATTTGTCATGSCTTATTAAATCTGCAAAATTCGTTAGCTTAATATGGTGCGTGAAAGAATCATTGAATTATTCTGCGTTTTATTATAGATAATGATATAAAGGTGCACTGGACATAGCGAAGTCACGAAAGTAGCTCTAAAGATTAATTATCGGTCTATAAAAAATAATGATTTTGAAAAATCATGCATATTTCTTTCCCTCKAAATTGTTTTTATTGAGCAGTTTGAAGGCCATTAAAAAAACATTCCTGGCCCCTGTCAGGTTTGCTAAGATACGAACCATTTGCATCAWTTTCCAAGGCTAGTTTTTCCCTGTACGATTGAGTCTATGACAAATGTCAGAAACTGAGAAAAACTGGTCGTTTTTGTACAAAACTGCACCATTTTCCGAGCGTTTTTCGTGAAGAGCGCGCCATCAATAATTTTTCCTTGTTTGGACTTTTTTATGTTTTACAGACTTGCTAAATGGCTCATGTTTATAGTCAATGGTACGGAATATATTTYTCGTGGCGTTCGAGCACTGCCGTGATCAGTGAAATACTATCCCGATATTGAGCTTGCATGTCAAAGCACTCGACTTGTGCTGCGTCGAACCGAGTCAACCGATCATCCAATATTTAAATTTCAAATTAAAACACCTTTATCCAAACCTGAATCATGATTTGATTGTAAATTGTATCATGTATGTAAAACATCTTTATAATCTTTGATATGTTGTTCTCGATGAATGATTGGTCTGTATATAGATGAAATTTCAGGTCATGTTAATGGTAGGCCACTARCTATGCAGCATCGATTATACTATTCCACAAAAAAAACTGAAAAGAAAACGTAAGATTTACAGAATATTTGTCATAGCTTACCATATTCTCTYAAAGCCTGAAGGCTTTTCAGAGAGCCGCAAAAAGCAGCCTGGGTGAAAGCATCTTGAAAATCCTCAGATGTTAAAACAACCGCGCTCTCGCAGTCCGAGACATGAGTATGTAAAACWGCSCTTGAATCGACATATTTCAATATCTCCTTAACTTCTTTGAYATCGTCGATAGAAATTGCGTCCGTYAGCYTCTCCATACAAGTATTTTTCTCTAGTRCTTGTATGTTTTTGARGAACAGTCGCCAGCTGATTTGAAAGCCGAGAGACAATGATTCCGAAACTCTTRAATGTTATGGGTTTTGACGTAGACGATTATAGAAATGTAGTAGCTTGGAATCAACCAATCACAAGGCAGCGCTTTGTCTGTGGGTTTTCCCTAAATCAATGCTTGTACAGATGTGTATTGAACATCTGCTAATGGCGTTAAAGTAGGTTCTCGAGTTTCTTATCAATAATTTGCAGCCTTATATTGTRTAAATAATTTGTTGATAGTGAAAATCAGATAAAAAAAATTATAACGGAGTCGACATGCGTTTGAATGCTTGTGTAGCACAGTATACTATAARAACTTCGTCAACTTTAGAAATCTTTAATGAATAATAGATTTGATTTACTATTGTATTTTTTGAAATATGCTTTCTTTCAAATTATTACGGAAATCAAATATGAGTTTTTATCGAGCTTCGAATCGTACACGACCCGTGATACTTGTACATCACTGCTTGCGGATCGCTTTTACTTTCATCACAAAAATCACGCTGAAAAACTAGACTTTCTTGAAAGATCAGCTTTATTTATTGAACTATAAAAAAACTCAAGTGAGAAGACAATGAGACAATTCTAAATCTTTTTTATGACAGCTGTCATTTCAATACGGACACATGCTGTATACACAATATAAACACGTGAACTGCTACACTTCATCAACCTCGTTCCCAGGCCCACAACGAGAGACCATAAAAGGGCCTGAGAACGACGTTGACATAACTTGTTGACATTTGACATTTAGTTGCTGGTATTTTGTCAAATGAAACTGCACAAGTTTTTGGCATCATTGAAGTGAGAAGTTCTTGACTCAGCACCAAAGACGTAATAGCCAGGGTATGGCAACGCAAGCTTACATGTTTTCCTAGATGAAAACATTATCATGATATTGACTTTCTCTAAAGCTGCAGCATGCTTTCCTTATGTGTGCACAATAGCACATAACATACTGGCATGAAAAAATGTTGTGAACAATGAATCAGTTTTCACTTTTTATTGCTTTTTACAACATCTTATTTTATACAATTTTTCTGGTAAGAAAATTCAATCTTCTGTAATMTTTGTTAAGATTATTAAACTTGCATTCACATAAGATCACTCCACAATAATGACAATAATATTCTTGTATGATATCAGTGACTTAATATAAAAAAGATAGCATTCAGAATTCATCTATTGGAACTTTCCATTTTGACCAGTTTCCATCTGGAGTGTTTCCCCATGCTGAAACATAAAAAGACAAGGGAAAGTTATTATCAAACTCATTAATATTTCACAAAGGTGAAAATAATCGAAAATCACTGCCATGACAGCATCTCTGTACGAGCAAGAGATTTGTCCTGATTTGCATTCCATTTTCTATTACAAATGACATTTTATCTTGAATTTTTTAGCAAAATATGCTTTAGCTTATGTTGGAATTTGGAAACCTTTATGGGCTTTAAAAATGCTGACTTGAAGCTTGCAGTTTTAAATTCTCATAAAAGTCTCCCACTCATGTTTTATGTATCACTTAATTTAATCACTTAACTTTGTTTTTACAATTACACATATTTTTATACTTCAAAGTATTTACCCTTTGCTTTATAGGCTTTGAATGCCTTCATGTAATCTGCTACTTCTTTTTGGCAATTCTGTCTTGAATTTACTTCTTCCCTCATGTAGCACTCCGCGACACGTTCTTTGTATATTTTCACTTTTTCTAGTTCCACAAACCGGTCTAGTACCCATTGTTCTCGTGCTKCAGCAAAGGCCACWGGATCGCGTCTGTCAATCTCCTCAAATGATGGAGAGCGCTGCCTCTCTGAGTACCTTTTGAAAAACTTGTCACTCATGTGTGATCTGGAAAAAAATAGGGATAATTACAGTCAGGGCACTTTAACCTGCACAACTAAGACAATTTGATAAATAGCCAATCATAGTTTAGCTTTCAGTTCAGGATAAAAATAGCCACGAGAGAACGGTTACTTCATTGGTTAATTTTGTTAACGTTTTCATGTGTGTTTAGTTATAGGCCCTGTTCACACTGGAACAGTTCTAGTTTAGGTAAGCGTCACACTGGAACTGGCCTCATCTGAGGCTGGCAAAGTGTTCAGGTTTGGGGCAAGCTGTTCCACTTTGAGGACGGGACACTTCTATAGCTGCAAGGCCCCATGCGAATCCATACTGAAATTTGGATGTTTCCGTGTGAATAGTGGGAACTGTCCTAAAACCAAGGTGTCCTCAAACTTGACCGGCCCCGTGTGAACGTAGTCATACTGTTTTCTGATTGATCCAGTCCTGGACATGAGCAAAATCTGCACTTGTCTGATTCATTTGGAATATGCGCAATTAACAGCRGCATATTGCAAAATCATTGGAATGAAACATTAACTTGCTAAGCATAATTGAGTGTTTTCACTGGCTTGAAATGCTTATAAGTTTCTTATAATGAAGTTATGGACATGAAATTTTAGCTTTTAAGCTTACGGTTTACTCACACAGTGATCAGCAAAGATGTTTACACTGAAAACGCATTCTGACACATTCACACACTTAAAAATATAAAATTGATCAATACAATTATCTGTGCATCTATCTTACCTCTTATATCAACTAAAATTGGAAARAATACTATGTTTTCAACGGGAAATCTTGCCTTATTTACTAGCCAGTTATAGCCAGTCTGTACTTTTAATCCAAGATGGCGAGCCACCGCAGCAATGCGCATGCGACATTGCGTTGAACGCTGGCCGTCTTTCAATGTATTGATCCCCCTCTTGGGAGAATGAATTCTCTTATCACGTGGTATTCGGTCTCTTTCTAATCGCTCGAACAAGATGGTGAGTGGAATTTGACTGTCCTCCCTAAAATCCATCGAAATAAAGCTCTTTCCTTCATCATCCCTTAAAAATTACTATGGAAAATATATGAGAAATAAATTTTGTATTGCAAGAAAACAAAAGTTTTCTTTTTAGATCGCTTTTATCACTATAAGAATCCGATAAAAATTCTCACATGTACAAAACTTAAAGTTAATATTGCGAAAAGATTTGAAATCTCTTTCTTGCTCACCCAGTATAGGAAATAAAGGACTCATATTAATAAAGTTTTTTTCAAATGTTTTTAATGTCATTCATTAGATTATATTTTTAAAACAATCTTTATCAAATTATTGTAGTCTCACCGAAAGTTCGAGGCACCACGTCACGGTTCCCTGGGATTTCTTCCCCGCAAAAGATGCAAGAGRCATCGCGGCAAAGTCAAGTCTTTCCCTAAAGATGATGCAACTCTCCCTCCTCATCTTACAGCCTTTATTGGCTTCAAAGCTGGCATGACTCATATTCTAAGAGAAGTTGAGAAACCTGGATCAAGTRAGTTTAAATTTATGATCTAAATGATTTCTTATGGCMCATCATCGTCCCACTTGCATTCACTTGGCACATGAGATCAGATGTATTATTTGGGCCGTTATAACRAACAATTTTTCAACTCAAGTTCCACACATTCACCAATTTCTAAGTGCTTTGTTGGTAAACCAAAGGGTACTTTGTCTTTCAGAACTTCACAAGAAGGAGAAGGTTGARGCTGTGACAATAATTGAGACACCACCCATGATGGTTGTCGGTGTTGTTGGCTACATTGACACACCWCGTGGTCTTAGAGTCTTAAAGACTGTCTGGGCTGAGCATCTYAGTGAGGAGTGCAAGCGCCGATTTTATAAGAACTGGTAAGAGAAACTTCYAGAAAGGAAAAATTGAGCTCCATGTGTTGACAGTAATCACYACTGTTTGAATTGATGTTGATGYTAATCATAGATTGAGMATTKATRAGCGGCATTAGATATTGTGACAGCATACGTATGATATCTGTCTAACAAATGCATCAATCCAGTGCTTATCCTCCTCTGAGTGGCCTATCGTTCATGAGGATTTGCCTTCTTGTTTCCTCTTTCATTTATACATTGGTCCTGTACCTAAAGGTGCAACTCCAAGAAGAAGGCCTTCACCAAAGCCAGCAAGAAGTGGGGAGATGACGATGGCAAAAAAAGCATTGAAGAAGATTTTAACATGATGAAGAAGTACTGTAAAGTCATCCGAGTTATTTGCCACACACAGGTAAGGGTTTGTTAGGATTATTGTCCCATCAACATCAAGCCTGTTATATTTCATTCTTTCATGAGACTAACTGAAGTTTCTTTTTCATGCAGCAAAAACTTGTTAAACTGAGGCAAAAGAAGGCTCACATCATGGAAATCCAAGTCAACGGCGGAAAGGATGTKGCTGAAAAGGTTGATTGGTGCAGAGAGCGCCTTGAAAACCCCGCCCCAGTACGCAAGGTATTTGCCCAGAACGAGATGATTGATGTGATTGGTGTAACCAAGGGACACGGATTCAAGGGTGTCACATACCGTTGGGGTACTAAAAAGCTACCACGCAAGACACACAAGGGTCTTCGTAAGGTAGCCTGTATTGGTGCTTGGCATCCTGCCCGTGTTGCCTTCTCGGTTGCCCGTGCTGGTCAGTCAGGTTACCATCACAGGACTGAGCTGAACAAGAAGATCTACCGCATTGGACAAGGTATYCACACCAAGGACGGCAAGGTCATCAAGAACAATGCCTCTACAGAGTACGATCTCACAGACAAGAGCATTACACCAATGGTAAGACTTAACACATTTTGAACTCTGTAATTTCTATAGAGTACTGAGAAAACAATCACAGCTACTTTCAAAAAATGAAAGTTCACTGTGAGATTTCTGTGTTCCTAGTGTTGAAGCTACTGGCCTCTCACCACTGTGGTCCGGGTTCAATTCCCGGGCACGGACCATATGTGAGTTTGAGTTTGTTTGATGTGTTGTTCTCTCCCTTGCCATGAGGGTTTTTCTCCGGGTCCTCCGGTTTTCCTCCCTCAGCAAAAATCAACATGTGAGGAGTGTTGTGTGCTAAAATACTTAATGTAGAGGTAGTGAGTGTGAGAGTACAGGGCCCGCAGTAATTGGCTCACGCTGTTGCGGTGTCCCTGCCCATACTAGGGGCAAAGCTAATAAATTTAAATTTAATTTAGTTTACAATGTTGCCTGTAGTTGCAATTATTATTGATCTGCATGATTAAGGAGTATGTTTTGTGTTGATTTTTTTATATCTTTTCTGTTTTAGGGTGGCTTCCCTCACTATGGTACTGTCAATGAAGACTTCCTCATGGTSAAAGGATGTGTTGTTGGACCAAAGAAGAGGGTTCTTACTCTCCGTAAGGTGAGAATTCCTTCATGGTTATTTTGCAGTTCATTATTGTTGCACCTGTTCTTGTGGAAACGTTTTCATGATCAAAAAATATTTGTCCCAAAGCTTTTCCAACATTTAAATTGGCTGTAACCTGATTCGTAAGAAAACCTTGATATCAAAAATAAAATTTAAATGATTTATTCTGTTTTCAGTCTCTCCTTGTCCACACAAAGAGATCAGCTYTAGAGAAGGTGACATTGAAGTTCATCGACACCTCATCCAAGTTTGGTCATGGCCGCTTCCAGCATCCTGCAGAGAAGAGAGCTTTCATGGGCTTGCTCAAGAAAGACAGGGAAAGGGAATTGACTGCTGGTGCCGAATAAAGTGTAACAATAAACTGCACAATAAAAATATCGAATTGCTAAAACCTGTGTTGTTTTTGTTGTAATACCAAGACTTCATTGCAAACTTTATTTGGGAAATACATAACTAATAAAGTGGTACTTAGTGGATTCTTGATGTGACAAAAAATGTTTCAGGGTCATTTGTTAGGTATCCAAAATGTCAAGTATCCAATGTAAAGCCAAAAGGGAGTATTTTCCAGTAGTAAAGAGTCCATAATAATGGACTGTCCAGAGTAAAAGTATTAGCACTATTTGGATACTTGGACCATTTTTGAATTCAAAGCGAATAACTGCAGTTTTATTTGATAACAACTTTTCTTGCTCAAAGAACTTACTGAAATCGAAAGAATTCAGCATGCTGCTGCAGCATTTCCCATAGCCCTAATTTGCGTTTTCCCAAGGGCTTTTGAGATTCAATTTGTAGAGAAAATGCAAATTTTCAAGGCTATTGTAATGGTGCTAAGTACTACACAATGCATTCACAAATCCATTTTGCTTTATTTCATAATCACAATTCTATCATTTCTACTGTATAAAGTGTTGTTCTTTCACTATTTGGAAGTGTTTGCTTGTTCTTGTAATGGTGCAAATATCCTTCCAAGCGGCTTAGTTTTTCTAACAGGGAAACCTGACAAAAAATATAAAAACATTATAAATTCAATGTGAAAATGTTTTTCTCTTGTCTTCACTCTAAAGACAAATTAAATTTCCATAATTCATAAGTTTCCCTTGGCTCTCATTGGCCACAGCATCCTTGGAAGACTTTTTTTTTAAATATCAAATTTTCCATGGGCAACTATCACAGCATAATTCCCTTGATTCAACTAGAGTGCACGCCACATAAGCATGAAACAATTCTTAAGTAATTAGTGCCTAATAAGATTTAGTTATCAACTAACTAAGAATTTAGTGAGGCATAAACAAAGACAAGTTTCCTTTCTGGCATTGTGTTCATGCCCCAGTGAATTCTTAGTTGATAACTAAATCTTCTAGATGTTGATAGTTAAGAATTGTTTCATGCTTTTTTGGCGTGCACTCTACTCTATTTGTTTATAACGATAGTAAATTCGTACCTGACCACTCACAGACTTGCTCATATATTTAAGAAGGTCATGGACATTGGGCATGAGTACAAGGCTAGTGTAGTGAGCATTAATGATCCATCCTGTCCAATCTAAAGCCTGAAAATATTACCCCACAAATAATTAATTGTCGTGAATCTTGAAGAAATATTTTTGCAGGGGTCAGATGCATGAAGAGTCGAGTGGATTGCATTATCCACTGTCGAATAAATCCTGGTTAAAATTCATGGAAAATCTATGGATAGCTGTTCCTAGAACTACTGCAACATGTTGTTATAGTATGTAAGATCAGAGTTTGAACACTTTGCACTATTCAGTGATAGATATGTCTTTTACCACTACAATATAATTACCGTTGCATAACTCAATGGACTATCCTSTCTGGAAAATGATGTTCTTGGAGCAGTTTCTATGATGTGTGCTAAAAACTTCATCAATKCCTAGTTGAAAAAATGGACATAATCATTTCAAGTTCACAATTCTTCTAAATGTATTTTACATTAGATGTGACACTTACAATAATACTGGCTGAAGTGAACCTCCTGATGCTTTGTTGAATGAATATATCATTTACTGGGTAACTTAAAAGATGACATCTTAGTAAAGTTAAGAGGAAATTTATATTTCTGTATTTTAATATCATAACTATTCTATTCTTGATTTTTAGTAAGGATACAATAAGTTCACTCTGTTCTTTCCAAAAGGACAAGGGAAAACTAGATCATTAACATCTTTTTCTTTTTCCTTTCTGATTTCCTCTTCTTCTTTTTTATCACCAAATACTGAATCTTCAGCTCTGGAAAAAAGTGAAATGTTTTTGCTATTTATATCCAAATATTTGGAACTTACTGCAGTACATAATAGAGCGGATTTCGTATGACTGTGCAATGAAACACGGTACGTTCGTGCTGTGTCCGTACTGTGCTGTAGCCGTGATGCATTGGAAAATCTTTACTTTCATTTGAAATCCTAGAAGGCGAGGTTCTGTGACCGTGCCGTGTCCGTGTTGTGATCTGTGCTTTTGCACAGTCATACAAAATCCGCTCTAGGATGTTTGTGTACTTACTGTATTGCATGTTGAATGCAGGATACAAGAGCTGACTCTGGTATGCCTTGAATGTTCTTTATACAAATTAAAATCATGTTCTAATGATAGAATAACAAAATAATATATAAGTACAATAGAGTGATAATAATATTGCCTATGAAAAGGAATCTGGAATCTGGAATTTGACTGATTTTGCTATGGGATCCAGAATGAGGTGATCCAACTTATCAAATTTTAGCTATTACATTTTGTTTCATTAAAATCACTCACTCTATCAACAAAGTCCATGAATCATATTATCATCCTTACCACTTCATTTTTCTCTGTTAAATATTTAAGGAGTTCTGGACTTGAACTGAAAAACATTCAAAAGAGAATTATTATTCATTAGGCATTCAATAAGCTAATTAAACAAACAAGCACACAATCCAACTATCCATTCTTCCACCCATTAATCAATCACAAAATCTATGTATCTATTAATTAATCAGTCATTCCACCAGACAATCATTATGAATGATACTTGAGTTCTAAAGTCAGTTACCTTCCAGGTATACATCTTGTTTTGATGAGATTTGTGAGCGCTTCTTTGGGAAAGAACTTCGTCTCTTCCAAGCAACGAGATAACACTGCCAGCACAAAATGCTGAGAAAGGAGAAACTTGCTTTTGAATTTCTCCTGTGGCGCACAAAAGAAGAAATATCCTAATTGAAAAACTGCTAGCTTAAATAATCATTATCCACAATAAAGTCTCCTGCTTTTGACTGAATAATAATTATGTACCTTTGCTTTGAAGGAAGTTTTCTTAACTTTGTCTTCATTGTCCTTATCTTTTAATTAAAAAAAGCATGTTTCATTTGATTGAAATGACTGTTTAACTTGGGAAGTGTTAAAAGTTACAAATAAAATAAGAAAAATCTTTTAAATTGCAAGTTTCTCAAACTGCATTTTATGTGATCAATATCAAATTAAGAATATCAAAAATCCAGAAAATGTCTGAATCTACTGATCCTTTTGGTACACCAAATTTACCTTGTCCTTTCTTCAGGCATTTAGATTCTAGATAATCATTCAGCTGCTGTGTAAATGATTTCACTGTCTTTGTCTAGAAAGAAAGAAAATACATGTTCATTAACTAATAGTACAATTGTTCACATAATTTCATTGTCGTTACCAGGCTCACTATTGGATATAGATCCAATAATATGGTTCTTTGAGATTTCTGTTACCTTTTGTGGGCTTGTTAATCTTACTAGAATTTCATCTTCAGTGGTTTGATTTGTTTTTGTAGAATCARCCCAGTCTTGAAGATCCTAAACATGAAAAACCAACATACATACTGAGCATAGTAGTCGAGTAGTCGAGATAGAACTTTATCACTTTCTACTTTCAAGAGTAACCAACTATTGTAAACTGTTTTATCCAAGATAAAACTACAACAACATCTCCTGGGAAGTGTCACTTCAATAGCCCCAAATATACAATGAWGTTTCTGCTCAGTCTTGGATTAGTTGTATTTTGTATGGTTTGGGATACAATATACTTGCCTTTGTTGGGTCTGGTAGATGAGGAATACATAGTAATGGCTTCAATGATGTCATCTCAGATGAACTGGTGATAAAAGAAGTCTCCTTTATCAATACATTATTTTACATCTAAAGCACCTTTCACAAGAAGTTAGCATGAAGGATATTTACTAGAATGTATGATCCAGGCCAATAGAAAAGCAACAGCAACTGTATTTGCCTCACTGACCTTTGCAGTATGCTCATGCTTACAATGGGCTAGTTAGATAATCTCACAAATAGGAAATCAGTGTTTTCACAAATTCAATTCAATTCTTGACAACATTACAATGTAAGTTACTGAGATTGTCCAAAAAAATGCTTTGAAGTACAATTTTTATACAAATTATTTGGAAGGATAGAATACATGTTATATATACCTCATGGGTGCTAGTTTCCCAAGAGCTGTTGCCAGTGACGACGGTGAGACAGCATAGGAACATGCTGCTATGCCATATTTGGAATTTGTACAGATATAACCATCTGTACACATGATGTGTGTAGAGCCAGAGGAATGGCTAGTCAGGCTTGACACAGGCTCATCACTAGTGATTGTATCCAGCGAAACACTGATTTGTCTTGTGCCAAACTTTGTGTCGAATATAGAGATTGTTTCTTAATAAAAACAATAGAAAGGTAGAAAATGAAACTTAATCAATCGAACCATGGGCTGAAATCAAAGGTGTATTGAGTTCATTGTGCTGTTTCGCACCGAGTGATGCATAAGGCATTCACCTTATTGAGTTACTTTTATTATATTAAGCCTTGTGCTTTTAGTTTTTGTTGGTTTCTCAGTTTTGTTTTATTACTTACTAAAAGCTTCAAGCTCACAGATATGTGTGTTTTGAGTTCATTTTGCTTTATTGTCAAATTAATGTCTCAAATTTCCAGTTTAAACTTACAAAATATACATTATTGTTGCATTGTRCACGATAAAGTCAAACAACTACCTTGGACGTCATTTTGTGYTAGTTCTTCATGACACATACAAATRTGTGTTGAGTCTACTGGTGCTATGGATACTGTTTTCTGAAAATAAGACATTTTATTTAATAATTATTGGTAAATTGTGCACATCCATAATAAAATCCCCATTAACAACACCATTTTAAGCATTATTATAATATTAAAATCATCAACATTATTATCCCTTTAGTGACACAGCCAACAACCCACCTTGGATAATTTTGAATCTTCATGTAGTCTGTTGATGCATGTACATTTTAAAGTAATATCATCTTGTTGCAATGAACTAAGCAAGCAGCTGTCTAAAATGCTTCTTAGTTCAGTGATGCAAAGGGAGCCGTTTGACCCTAATTGAAACAACA